ACACAATAGAGAACAAAGTGGGCAAAGGCTGAATCCTTTGATTTCTATTATTACCTATTATCTTATCTTCCTATGTAATCTATAGCAGTTATGACAATAGTAATTAGTCTCACAATCCCCAGTTCCTGATGTAATAATTTGGGAGCAGGAGGGACTAATGAAAAGTAAATTGATCTGCTTGCTGATGGACAGCAGCAATAGTGAGGACCATCAATATGGAACTCAAATTTAATTGTAAGTATTATTATGAGCCCCATTATGCTTGTTCAGTTGCTTATTTAAGAATCAATTCTGCTCTTTAGAATTTCTTATGTAATAAGAAACCAAATTTGTATCTGAAGTAAAGTCATTTTGTGTGTGTGGGGGAGGAGGGGTCATAGTCATCTAAAATATTTACGTCAACCTCTACATTCAATCCAAGGATAAAAATCAGGTAAGAAAAACCTGATATTGAATAAGAGGGAAGAATAGCTGTTTTTATCTTTATGCTTTTCTTTTTTTCATTAATATGCTCAATAATTGAGGGTACTTTCTCTCTTAATACCTCAGTCTGGAGATGAGCTCTCAATTCACATGAAGTTTGTAGGGGAGATGCAGAGAAGTGAGACGCATCTAGAATAACCCAGAGGCCATTCTGTAAAGTTGACAAGTGAAAGGTAATTTCTTTAAAGAAATTTTAACCAACTACTCCATAGGAAATTACTCACTGCAGAGGAAATAAAGACAATAAAGACACAAATGTATTTCATATAAGGCAAGCTCAGAAAAGAGCTACAGTGGGCTGCACATGTCACAAGGGGTTTTGATTACATAGATAACATCAGGCCTGGTCAAATAAGAAAAAGCTTTTTGGAAGAAGGGCCGTTTGAAATGGACCTTAAAAGTTGAGAATTGTCTTCAGGGAAAGGAAAGAAGCAGTTTAGGAATTAAAAACAACTCAGGAAGGTAAATTCGGGACAGTTTTTGGGAACAGGTAGTGGTCAACTTGGATTGTAAGGTAAAACAAGAGGGCAAGAAAAGTAGTATTATATATAGTAAGAGAAAACATGTTTCAAACTATAACTCTCCTTAACCTTAGTATGTGAGCCTATTGGAATACTGTCACACACATGTACACAAAAACCATCAAATATACACATGTCCACACCATCACACACACCATCAAAGATACACACAAGCACGCATCACACATCATCAAACACACACCCCATCAAACCCTATACACTTTCAAATATACACACACATATCATCATACACACCCCATCAAACCCATACTCCATCAAACACACATACACATATCATCATCACTCACAGCATCACATACTTCATCAAACACACACACTGTCAAACACACAAACATACACACATCATCACATTCATATACACACACACATGCACACAAACATTGCATTGTAAGCAAATACTTGGGCATTGGTGGGTGATAATCTGAGGTAGTTGTGGTAAATATCTTCATCATAGAACACTACTAAGTTTATATTTATGTTAAATAAAAATGTGTGATTTCTGCAGAGCCATGGTTCTCTTAATATCTATTTAACAGTCTGTTATGTTTGAATCTGAAGTGTCTCTCAAAAGCTCATGTGTGAGACGATGCAAGAAGGTTTAGAGAATAAATGATTGGGTTATGAGAGTCCTAACAATCAGAGAATTAATCCCCTGGTGGGGATAACTGAGTGGAAACTGAAGGGAGGTAGAGTATAGCCGGAGGAGGTAGGTAATTGGGGGGTGTGATTTCGGGGTATGTATTTTGTATCTGGGCTCTCTCTTCGGTTTGATCATCATGGGAGCCACTTCCTTCCACCCACACTCTTCCGCCATGATGTTCAGCCTCACCCTCTAGCCTTGAGGAGTGGAGCTTGCTGTCTATGGATTGAGACTTCTGAAACCATGAGCCCTTTTCCTCCCTTATGATTATTCTTGTCAGGTCTTCTAATCCCAGCAATGAAAAAGCTGTCTTAAATAGAAATTGGTACCAAGATGTGAGGTAGTCACTGTGATTAACCTGGCATGTGGTTCACTAGCTTTTGGAGCTTTCTGGACTTGGTTGAAGAAATTTTGAGATGTAGAGCAGTGTAAGTTGGAAATACTTTAGACTGTTGCAAACAGACCTTAATGGTTGATTCTGATGGGAGCTCAGAGGACTGGGATGCCAGTAGAATCGTGGAAGTGAAGACAGGTCTCAAGAGGGTTTAGAGGAAAAGGAGGAGACTATTGGTGGTTTGACTACAGGCCATTTGTGTTGTGTTCTGGCTGAGAAATTGTCTGCATTTTGCCAGTGTCCTGGCGCTTTCTATGAGGTTGATTTTAAAAGTGATGGACTTCTTAATTTGGTGGGAGAAATTTCTAGGCAGCATAGCATTCAGGCTGTGGCATGCACATTGCAGATTTTAGCCAAATTCATTGTGATGATCAGGTTCAGAAAACAGAGCAGGAAGATTTGAAAAACTTGGACTTGAAGAGTGGGAGTAAAACTGGGGCTAAGGAAGTTGCAGTCATAAAAGACCTTACTGCCACTAAAGAAATGCTAAAGACTTTGTGCAGAGAAAATAAGCAAGATGGCCTAAAGGCATCTCAGGAATTGGCAAGATCATACGCATCTCAGATTCAAGGAAGTAAAAGTAAAAATTCTCTTGAGACCAGTGGGGTACCTATCTTGTATAAGGGACTTTAGGAAATATTTTACTATGTTTAGCTACATAGACACTTAGAGGCTGCTGCAGCCAGGGTCTTTGGAGGCTTGGACAGTGCTTGAGATGGCTGCAGATCTTGGTGTTAACCACATGGTGCTGTTTCATGCAGAAATGCAGATGCTGGAGTTAGGGGATTGTGGAGGCTTCCACCAAGATTTCAAAGGAAAGCCAGGGAGGCCAGGCAAAGTGCAGCAGGATCAGAGTCCCTGTGGGTACTCCCTGAGAGGAAAAAGTGTGGAAATATGAGGAGGAAGCTGAAGATGCACTGGAGACCCCTGAGATTAAGAAATGCCAGTACTGTGGAATGTCTTCTGAGGAAAGCTGCAGGAATTGAGCTGAGACAAGCCAACAGAAAGGCCACTTGGGTTGCAATCAACAAGGTCAGAGAGGTGGAGCTACACAAGTCCTTTGGACAGAACATCACCATGCCATGTTCCCCAGATGCCAGATATGGAGCTATAGGAATTGTTTACCTAGCTGGATTTTGGTCTTGCTTTGGTCCTCTCCCTTCTTTCTATGCCCCTGTTTTTGTGAATGTAAGTGTTTACTTTGTACCTTTACATATTGGATACTTGTGAATCTCTTTTGATTTTTACAGGAGCTGACACTGTGAGCTTGCCCTGAGGCTCAGAGATGACATTGGACTTGAACTTGTGGGTAATCTTGATACTGTTGACACTGTGGGGACTCTGAGAAATGGACAAAATGCATTTTGCATTGTGAGATGAGCATAATATTTTGGGGGCTCAGGGTGGAATGTTATGATTTGGATGTGAGGTATCCCCCAAAGCTTACTTATGAGACAATGCAAGAAAGTTCAGAGGAGAAATGATCAAGTTATAAAAGCCTTACCCCAATCAGTGAATTAATCCTCTGGTGGTGTTTACTGAGTGTTATGGTTTAGATGTGGTGGCCCCTGAAAGCTCACATGTAAGAAGGTTTAGAGGAGACATGATTGGGTTATGGCCTTAGCCCAATCAGTGAGTTAATCCCTGTTGGGATTAATTGAAGTGGTAGGGTGAAGCTGGAGGAGATGGGAATTGGGGCGTGGCATTCATGTATATATTTTTTATCTTGCAAGCTTCTTTATTAAAAAAAATTTTTTTAGTTGTAGATGAACACAATATCTTTATTTTTATTTATTTATTATTTTGTATGTGGTGCTGAGGATTGAACCCAGGGCCTCATGCATGGGAGGCAAGCACTCTACCACTGAGTTACAACCCCAGCCCTCGCTCTGCTTCTTGATCACCATGATGTGAGCTGCTTCCCTCTGCCATGCTCTCCTGCCATGATGCTCTGCATCACCTTGAGCCCTGAGGAATGGAGCCAGCCTTCTGTGGACTAAGACTTCTGAAACCATGAGCCCTTAAATAAACTTTTCCTCCTCTATAGTTAATCTGGTATATCCTTTAGTCATAGCAGCAAAAAAGCTAAAACACTGAGTGTTACCTGAAGGCAGGTAGAGTGTGGCTGGAGGAGGTAGGTTCCTAGGAAATGACTTTGGATATACATTTTGTATCTGACTATTGGAGTCTGTCTCCCTGCTGCCTGATCATCATGTGAGCCACTTCCCTCTACCACACTCTTCTGCTCACCTCAAGCCCTGAGGAGTGGAGCCAGCTGACTGTGAGACCTCTGAAACCATGAACCCCCAAAGAAAATTGTTCTCCTCTGCACTTGTTCTCGTTGGAACTTTTAGTCAAAGCAGTGGAAAAACAGATTAAAACATAGTGTATGTATGTACCAAATTTCAATATCATTGCATTTCATATTCTATAATCTTTCACACTTGAGAACGGGAAGGCAGTATAATATTCTCTCTCTCTTGACAACATAATGATGTTTTGTTTTAGAGAGTCTTTATCAAGAATCTGATTTTTTCTTTTTGCTCTTCTTGTTCTTTGTCAAGGGGACAGATTCTCAATTTGGAGGATGCTGGGCAAAGGGATAACTTCAGGAGGAATTATCTAGCAGGGAAAATTGGAGAGATGTGGTAGATAGCGTTAGAATTGAATTGATTTATAAGATTTATAAGATACTCAGCTGGTATTCCCTGGAGAATTGCTTCAAACTCACCCCCTATCCCCCACAATCACCTGATCACGTAAGTGTTATGTGTTGAGTATGAGAAAAACCGTTTCCCAATTTTTCCTTTACAGAATCCAAGCCTCAATAAAGAACCACACTGTGTGGTCAGAAATGGAGAAACACAAGAAATTTAGCATTCAAATATCTTCAACATCTAAATAGTCCTCTTCATAATCATAATAAAAACAATACTTCCAGTCTGGTATCTAAGACTTTTACTTCCCAGCAGCATAATACCACTTTGGTCAGGTTAAACCACTGCACAATTTTGCAGCTCTTTCAAAACAAAAACAAAACCAAAAACAATTAGAAAGACATGATACACATGCAATTGTGAAAAAAAAATGGTACAGTTGCCCAATCCTTCCCCACAAATGTGAAATATCCTTGGTTCATCTCCACACTGTGTATTTAATATAAGCCCTTAGAGCAGGGATTTTGTTTCGTTCAGTTTTTGTAGCACCAAATAGACACAGTGGCTAATGACAAATAATTCTGAAAAGTCATTGAAATACTTATCGCATGTCAGAAATTTTCTGGATCTGTACTTTTACCCATGTCCCTGGCTTGAAATAGTCTTCATGTGAGTGAGCTATAACATAAGATTGAATTCTAACTCTGCTTTTGTTACTGATATGGTTTGTTGACCAACAGTAATAATTTACTAGTATCTTTTGTATACTACTTTACAGTTTCAAAGTACTATTTATATACAATGACTCATTGATTTTAATGACTCTTTTTAATGTAATGGTATCCCCCAAAACCACAGACAATGATTAGGTGTGAGCTCTTGTGTCAGACTGCATGGGTTCCATTCCCAATTCCACTTGCTAGCTGTGTGACCTTGGACACGTTACCTATCTGTGCTTCAGTTTTCTTCAATATAAAATGGAATCCAATGAATAGGATTGTTGAAAGGATTCAATGAGATGGTTCATGAACACAGTAGCTAAAAATAGGGAGAGCTGAATAAATGTTGTAAGTTATTTCCTACCTGTCTGGGTTTTAACTGTGGTTTATATGTGACACTAATAAGCATTTTTGAGAGGTGTGTTTAGAAAAGCAAGCTCACATAAATCTGAGTAGAGAGTATTTCTTGATGCCCCTGGGGTGGGATTTTACTCATTCTAACAGGTATGAAGGTGACCCACTGGACAATGAACTCTAGTTATGACTAGAGCAAAGGTTGAGGAGACTATATCTGTCTTATGTCTCAAGATTTCCGGAACTTAGCATGTATTAGATACAGTAAATATTTGTTAAATGAATAAACATGTGGAAGAATTTGAGTAGGTGTATGATTAGCTTTTAGCTCAGGTACATTTCTAGGAATAAGAAGGAAGTGACCTTTTGAAATCTGGAGAAAATTCAGAAATGGTGTTTCTGTTGACTACGAATTCCTTAGAGAAATATTCTTAGTAAATATTTAAAGGGATATTAATAATTATGCTCAATTATGTGAGTTTTCTTTTTTTTTAGAAACTAAAACAATTTTTTTTTTTTAAAAAAAAATGGGTACTAGGGATTTAATACAAGGTGCTTTTTACTTTTTGAGACAAATTTTCACCAAGGTACTGAGGGCCTCACTAAATTGCTCAGAAGGCTGGCCTTGAACTTGTAATCCTCCTACCTCAGCCTCCAGAGTCTCAGGGGTACACTACACAACACCCAGCTAAAACATGCCTTTTTATAAAATTTAGAAATAGGGATCCACCTTTGGATCATCCCTGCCAAATAATTCCAAGTACTTTCATAAAGAACTAGAAAGCTTTGATTTTATTCATTGAAAAGCAAACAAACAAACAAAAAGAATAGAATTCCCAAACATCGATCTAAAGGTTTTGAACCCCTGAAACCTTTGAAGTAATTTGATTCCAAATTCATATAGCTAAAAAAAAACTGAAGAATCAATTCTGGTCCTAACTCTGACATTTAGAAATTAAGTGCCCATCAGTATACTGTATGTTGGTGAAATGTGCAAAATTATCAGAATGCAAAATGTAGTTATTTGTCTTTCCACTTCCTTAATTATTCATTCATTCAACAAATATTTACCAAGTGTCTACACTGGGCCAAGCTATGGACAAGGAATTTACAGTTTCTTATCTCCTGGGAGTTTGAGACCCAGAGAAGAATGAGTGAGTGGGACCATCTTGCTGTATATTGGCCTCTGAATATTCAGAGAATTGATATGTACTTCATGATGTTATCTGAAAGTGGTCTTACTTACAGGTGGGGTGTGTGTGTGTGTGTAATAAGCACAAACTTGACAAAAAAAAGATAAATTCAGGCATTATTCATGCATCCACAAATATCTATAGATGTTTAAAGTAATGTAGACAAAATATTACATGTCTTAGTGTCCTATATTTTCAGCTGAGTAAAATGCATTGAGATAAGATCAGTTTGCTGTCACTTTTGGAAACTGCATTTGTAAATTGATGTAATGTATCTCCAGCCAAGTTCTCCAGAGACAGCCTCAAATCCTTAAAAAGCCCCTGAATGCTAGATTTTTGCATTGAGATCTTAGCATTGTCTTAAAAGATAATGGTAGTTCACATAACTAGAGAATTCCCTATTGATTACATGATTGAGGAAGCACAAAAGTCTGTTATTCTTTCCAAAGTCAATTGTAATTTAAGCTCATTATCTCCCTGCAGATGTTCTGTTTCAAATGGCAACAGAATCAAAATGTAAATGCTCCAGTGAAAAGGTTCTGGAATTCTTTTATGGTGTGTTTACTGTGTGTTTGCAGTTCAAAATCATAGCAGGAAAGAGTTTAGAAAAATCGGGCCCACTGGCCACCAACTTGAATAAGGGAAAGAACTGAAATTCACTAGGGTCCCTGATGAGTCAGAATCAATTTTCATGTAACTTTTAATACCTAATTTATTTTATTGAAGATTGAGCTTCATTTAAAAGAAATCTACTTGTCTTTACTGTTTTTAAATATGACTTGGGATATCAGGGACTCGAGTATAATTAATAATAATGAGCATTAGTACAAATTATGGTAATTTTTCTCCCTTTCCCTCTGGCTCCATTGACACTTAAGGAGCCACAAGTGTTCAAACTCTTTTAAGTCTTAGGGATGGATCCTTTTGATTAAAATTTTAGGGGTTGGCTTAGATTTCAACAAACTAAATTTTACTGAAGAGAATTGTCCATTTGTATGTAGGACCACTGCGACATGTAATCTGTCCTCAGATTCCACGGGTATGATGTATTGGCCCTTCACTTTGACAAACAACCTGAAATACTTTGATCAGCACTTAACATTATACAAATGAAGCATAAAATACAGACTTGTAGAAAACACAAACTTAAAGTATCTGTTCACTTCACAGTTGCTTCTGTGGTGCCTTGAGGAGAGGTGTGTTGGTGTGAAGCCATATAGCATCAGTATCACCGAACTGAACACTTAACCACTAAATGAAAGCATACGGACCTTAAGCTCCAAATTTATACAACGTATTGAAATATGTAGAAATGACCATTTTCTCATTACAAGGGTGCAATGATTTCCTCTTATGAGAATCTTGTGGCATTGCCTGAATAGCTTTAATATTTCTTTTTTAAATGATAACTAAAATATATGTTTCATTAAATTTTTCTTATAAAAAATGAGAACTATATTTCAAACTGAATAATGCTCATATAGTTTCCATTTATTTCCTCTTGCCATGCTTGTCTTGTTTATAAAACCTATTTTACATAACATTCAGGGTCCTTGTTGTCCCCACCCACGTCCCCACTTCTTTCTAGGAAAAAAATGATATGTTTTCAAGGATGGGAACCTGTTAACACAGCAAGATGATGTTGAAATGAATTGGTGAACTCCCAGTTTCCTTGCTGTTTGTCCCCTGTGGGAGATGCACTGTGACCATCAGTGAGGACTTGGTATTGACAGTGATGTCACCCAAAGGAAAAATAAAATGGGCTGGGTCATTCTCATTGGATTTATTTGTAAGATGATCGTCTCTAAACTGAGCTTCATAAATTTTTATTTTGGGGGATTATCAGAAATGTCAAATTTATTATATCTTGGGAATTTCTGCATCTGAGGAAAGGGACTATTCAAATATTTGCCTCTGTTTTAATGATTTGTCTGGATTGTTTTAACTGGGCAATTATTATGTTTTCAGCTACAGCTTTGTGCTTAAGGCAGTAACTGCTGAAATAATGATTGCTTCCTATTCATTCCATGATGTAAAATCAGATTAGGTGCCTAGAGTTATCACGAGTCAAACATTGTGATCTCTGTAAGTGGCTCCATAAAAGAACTAAGTAATCTTTCCCTCTGGAAGAAGCAGCATGCACCATTCACAATATTGATAACACTGGTTTCTGGTTTCGATATGCTTCATTGAAAAAGAAATAATACTTTTGATTGATCTTAGACTGCCAAAAACATACATTTTATATTTGGGGAAACTGATCTAAACTTTATGTGATATATCTCCTAAGCTTCAAAGTATCAAATTTTAAAGACTTTCATGACAGTACATCTGTGTATGCAGCCTTTGGATTTCTCCAGAGCTTAACAATCAAAAATATAAAGCTTAACAAAAATTAAAATTGAGAGCAGGGTTGTATTTGTGATATGAGGATCCTTTCACAAAGCTAGTTCTTTTCCTAGTATTCTTTCACCAGAGTCACAATGCTTGGTAAGAAAAGAATCTAAGTTGTAACAAATGTATTCTGATAATATATATATGTATATATATGTATATATATAGTGGAATAAATATACATTATATTCTGTTAGAATTAATAATAGATACAAACCATACTTAAATTAAAATAAGTATAGTACTAGAGTTCCTACCTTTGTTTTTAGCAAACTAAAAGTTGAGCTAAAAAAGTGTCCCACTCTGTTAATGCATAATAAAATTCATGGAAACAGAAAATAAAAAGCCAGGTGCTTCTAGAGCATGAAGAGACTATAAATACAGTGTAATAACTTGCCATTTTCCAAAGGAGGGTAGAAGTTGAGTGCGCAATGAACTGGAATTCCAACTCGGACAACTCAGCAATGTGGACTGTGGAGGGGCCAGGGCCAAGGGCAGAGTGTAGGATTCTTTCAAGTGACCACCACCTTGAACTGATACAGTTTGAACTAGGGCCTGAGGAGCGGCTTGCTAATCTCTGGAAAAGCTATAGACCAAAGACTCACTTAATCCTGGCCCTGGTGATTTATTCCAAAGTCACAGACTTTACTCTTCTCACACTGTTTCGGTCTGCAGACTGGAGAGCATCTCTCCCTCTACACACTGAGGATTCCCACTGCAGTGAATGGAAGGTCTGTGTGTGTAAAGAGCCAGTGAACAGGGAGGGGTGGGGGGCGACAGGGCCGCTCAAGCCCAGAGAAAGAAGGTGTCGAGTTGCCGTGGTAAAGAATTTATACACCATGTGTTCACAGCTTCTTGACAGGTATAATTATCAGTGTTGTCTTTTCCTTTACTATGTGCTGGGATTCTGAAGCACGTTTTTCAGACTTGTGACTATTAGATGTTGGATCAAGTAGCTTTCCTTCAAGGGCCTGAAAGAGGGGAAAAGAGTGAAATCAGTGATTAGTATTCATTTATCAACTACTGATATGCTAAAAATATCAAAGGAGCATGTGCTGTGTGAGAACGGCAAGAATTATTTTGGGTGCTGTCATTCATGCACAATCTAACACACATGAAAAAAGATCATTTGATGTTTGTAAAGGAAGTAATTATCGAATGAGGCTGGAAAAGCCACAGTCATTCCCCCAAACAAAATAAAAAAAGCACCATTTGGAAACATTTTAAATATAAAACTGTTCTTCTCACCATGATGATTCTATTTCTCTTCATGCAGGCAAAATATAAATAACATTTATATTATAACTCTCCAGGCATTTAGTGTGGTTTTGTTGAGAAACAAAACAGCAAAGCCTCTTGCTGACAAGCTAGAAGCACCAATGTCCCTTCTCTGAAGCACACGTTAAGCCTGTCTCTCCTCCTACAAGGTCAGCCCGACCCTGTTTAGAAGAGAAATCGAACTAGAACGTGTCCACGCCAGCAGATTTGGGGGAGCTGCTTCCTTAAACACTTCCCCTAAGCCTGTCACTTTTCCACCATGATGGAGTCATTTCTTTCAGAAGGAACTGTGGTTTCCAATCTTTGTGTTGAGAGCTGCTGCTATTTTTAATTCAATGGATACTGAAAATCATTTCCAAAACAGATATTTAACAAAATTGTTTAGCCTATTCTGTACTATCACTCTCCAGCTACCATGCCTTCTAGAGAGGTGATAATAGCCCACTGGGGCTTCCAGAGTGGACTGAAAACCACATGTGAGGCCACTGTGCTTCCTTAGGTGTCTCTTAACAGGAACACAATTAAAACGGCTGGCATGTCATTAACGCTTTTAACTCTTACAGCATTCTACTACTACTGTTGCTGTTACTGACCAAAACTTATCGAGATGACACTAATGGCCACATATTTTGCTAAGAACCTTACATATATATATATTTTTTTCTTATTTAATATCCACAACAGACTGCTTTACTGAGTTTCTGACTGAATAACTTCCTAAAGGTCACTCAGCTGCTAGAGATCTAGAGACTGAGTTTTTTATTAATTAAATTATAATGTGTCACATGTTTTGAGGGAATGAGACACAGAAAGGGTGACTCTTTCTAAGAGGCTTGGAGCTCTTCCTTCATCCATCCAGCAGAGCAGTAAGAGATACATTGACGATTGGGAGGGCACTGGTTTCCCCGTGTAGGTCTCCAAAATACCTCTGGGATGAACTGTCTGCAACAAATGTTCTTATTATTTCCCTCAGGCCTATCATTCATAATTCAACAGGTTAGCATTTCATTTTCTAAAGCAAAATCCTCTTTTCCATCTTAGTGTGGATTTTCTTAATCCAGTTGCTTTGCCAACACTAAGTGAGCCATTGTGATAGTGCCTCCCCAAGCCCTGAACAGTTCCATGTCCTCTTCTTCACAACCTGTGAATGTGTTGATTACATGTCATTGGGAAATTAAAGTTGTAGATGGAATTACCGTTGCGGATCAGTTGATGTTAAAGATGGAAGAGCAAACATCTAGGGCCACTGTGAAAGTGGAAGAGGGATAGGACAAAGAAGTACTCTGAAATTTAAACATGCTTGGAAAAAAAATGAAAAAGAAAACATAGCTTATCAAAATGCTGGGATGCAGTGAAATTGGTGTATAGAAGGAAGTTTATGGCATTGGATGAGGATGTTACAAAAGAAGAAAGATCTAATAGCGATCACCTAAGTATAACAGAACTCCTTTAAAATCAAAAGCTCCCAATTAATTGTTTCCCTTCCATTTCCTGGTAAAAGTTATTGTTCAATATCAGTTTCCTCATACTGACAATGGGAACTGAGACATTGTCCCCAAAGCCTGTGCAGATGCCAGCCAAGGGTTGAAAAACCTAGATTTCTGACATACTCTGGCTAGCATGATCTAGCTAAATCTACATGTGTACATTCCCTGGCTTTTATTTCTGTAAATGGTAACCACTTTGTAGGGCCTATGAATTAGCTACCTTCCCAGTTTGGGGCAAGCTACAATTAAATTAAATTCATTTATTTTTTTATATTGTTTGCTCATTTCTTATGTAGGCAGGGGACCAAATACAGGATTCCTTGGTGTGGCTTCTAGTAACATAAGCTTCCACCTTAGGAAACTAGAAAAAAAAAGAACAAATTAAGTCCATAGTAAGCAGAAGAAAAGAAATAATAAGTGGAGCAGAAACTAATGAAATGAAAAATAGGAAAATCAATGAAACCCAAACCTGGTTTATTAAAAAAGAATCAGTGCAATTAATAAACTTCTTGCTAGGCTAACTAAGGAGAAAAAGAGGATATAAGTTACTACTATCAAGAATGAAAGAGGAGACATCACTCAAATCATTAAAAAGATAATAAAAGAATATTATAACTCTCTATTTAAGATCTTGGTAAACTAGTTGAAATGAACTGATTCTTTGAAAGACACAGACTTCCAAAACTGATACAAGAAAAGATAGATAATCTGACAACTAGTAACTCCCCAAACAGAAAGCACCAGGCCCAGACAGCTTTCTATGGTAATTCTACCAAAATAAAAATTCTAACAATTCTCTACAACCTTTTTCAGAAGATAAAAAGCAGAGGTAACACTTCCTGACTCATTTTATATGACCAGCTTTACCCTAATACCAAAACCAGACAAAGACATACAGGAAAAGAAAGCTGCAGACTGATACTTTTCATGAATGAAGATTCAACAAAAATATCAGCAAATCAAATCCAATAAGGTATAAAAAATTTAATAACTCCACATAGTTATTTAAAATGTGGACCTAAATTTACTAGTGTGCATCATAGTGTTCAGTTTTAAAAATCAGGTTAACATTAAGAACATGGGGTATGAGCCTATATGAAAATAAGCTCATATATACATAAGTACATGGAATCTTAAATATACAGAAATAAACAAAGATTGGACGCTAAAATGAAGGGAGATTTTCCTGAATGGTTGATTTTTTTTCTTTATACTTCTGAACTGTCTAAAACTTTTGCAGTGAACATGTTATTTTCATTTTCATAATTAGGATAAACATTACATGGAAACCAATATCAGTCAATTCAAACAGAATTTTCATAAACAACAACAACAAAAGTGGAAGATAGAAGAGAGTGAGAGGAAGAGACATGACGATAGAAGCAGAGGTAACAGCAAGGCTACAGGAAAGATCTGACCCCCAACCCCCAACCATTGCTGGTTTTTGAAGATGGAGGAAGAGGCAAGGAAATAAATTTGTTCATAGAGTTTCCCTAGTCCTCGTGAGACTGCTGGACTTCCATTCTACAGAATTACAAGAGTATTTTTTAAAATTTTATTTTTTTCATTGCAAATAATTATATATATATATAATTAATCTCTATACTCTTTCAGCAATGTTGAACTATACAAGGCATTGTTGTTTATTATAGTCCACATCCTCTGCAATAGATCACTAAAGCGTATTCCCCCTGCCTTGCTGAAACTTGTATCTTTTGATTGGCTCCCTTTTCCCATTGGCCCCTTCCCCAGCCTCTAGTTGCCATCATTCTATTCTCTGCTTCGGTGAGTTCAATGTTTTAGATTCTACACCTAAGTGAGATTACATGGCATTCATCTTTCTGAGCCTGGCTTATTTTATTTTAGCATAATGTCTTCCATGTTCATCCATTTTGTTGGAAATTACACAATTTTTCTTCTTTAAAGCTTAATAATATTCCATTGTGTATATATACAAGATTTTGTTTATTCAGTCATCTGACAATGAACACTCAGGTTGCATACTTATCTTAGGTATTGTGAATAACACTGAAATGAATATATGAATATACAAGTACAACTATTTATTTGGCATAATTCATTCATTCTTTCTTTTTTTTTTTTATGCTGGGGATTGAACCCAAGGGTGTTTAACCACTAAACGACTTCATCAGCCCTGTTTATGTTTGATTTTGAGACAGTGTCTTGATAAGTTGCTTAGGGCCTTGTTAAGTTGCTTAGGGCCTTGCTAAGTTGCTGAAGCTGGCTTTGAACTTGCCATCCTCCTGCTTTAGCTTCCTAAGTCTGTGGGATTATAGGAGTGTGACACTGGGCCTGGCTTACCATGCTGTTTTTATTACTACAGTTTTGTAATAGATTTTTTTAATATTTATTTTTTAGTTTTAGGTGGACACAATATCTTTATTTTATTTGTTTTTTATGTAGTGCTGAGAATCGAACCCAGTGCCTCACACATGCTAAGCAAGTGCGCTACCAATTGAGCCACATAGATTTTGAAGTGTGATGCTTCTAGCTTTGTTCTTTTTGCTCAGGACTGCTTTAGCTATTCAAGGATTCATACAAATTTTGGAATATTTTTCTATTTAGGGGAAAAATGACACTGAAATTCTGAGATGGATTGTGCTGAATCCTATAGAATTAGAAGATAATACATCGTGTTGTTATTTTTTTCACCACTAAATTTGTGACGACTTCAAGATTTGAAATGATGAAGGTCTTTGAAGTATGGTGAGCTCTTTTGGAGGTCAGTGGTGAGGGAAATTTGGACACCTTTAATAAGCAGCATCAGACTGAATCCCTAGAAAGTTCATGAAGGACTCTGTGAGCTGAAATCAGAGAATCAAAGGTCAAGTTCCTTTAAACAGAGGGGTATAGTGAGTCAGAGTGGTTATGATCAAGATCCTGGGTTCAAATCCCACCCCTGGCATTTGCTCGCTGTGAAACATTTCATACACTTTAAGAACTCCTATATGCCTCCGTTCCCTACTCAAAAATGAGATTAAAAATAGTACCTAAACCTAATAAGGCTGCTGTGAAGATTAAGTGGTTTAATATATATGAAGCTCTTGGAGAAGTTCTTGGTATTCATTAATTCTGATTGGCATTTCTAAGTTCCTTAGATTTAATTTTATCAGGGTCTTTCTCTGGAACCTGTTTCTCCTAGTGACTGGGATGGTGATTTTGGTAATGAACCCCTGGATCAGATCATCAGGACCACAGCTCTGGTGATGGTAATAGATGGCATGATTTCAATAGTGAACAAAGCAAAGAAAATCGAGGTCTGAAGAGAGCCAGCGAGGCCACTGAAAAATTCAGCTACTTTAGAAATCTGAAAATACTTAGCATGGTTTTGAATGTAATGGATTCTCCACCCTGCATCCAGCAAAGACAACAGTTTATTCTTGATTTTGGGGGGAATGTTGATATCTCAAGAAGTATTCCTCTTCCTTCTTGCTTTTATTCTTTGGGAATATGAGTGAAATGTGAATGTATACCAAAAAAATCACATTTTAAAACTAAGATGCTAAAAGCTGCAGAAATGTAACACTTTCTCAAAGAAAATGGTATAGCAGGAAAAATTCCTACATTTACATTTTGTGTTTGGATTTCTGTCATGAAAATGTACAGTACTTTTTGTTTTTCCACAGTTTGGGAAATATAACCTTTTTGTGAGTTATCAAGCAGAAGTAAGGGAGAAATACAACAGATCATTACTTCAGGAGAATTTAAAATTCAGAAGAGGCCTAAGAGAAAAATTTCTCACACACTAGTGGTATTCAACCCCTTTGTCATTTTTATCCCTCATTTACCATTGCTAGTTCCTTCATACTTGATACCATCTCAGAAAAAAGAAATTATTTCTGATTTTGAGCATAGAAAATAGTAAGACAATATCTAACAATATTTTGCTTTACCTAGTCTTTGCTTGAGTGGTTGACCTTTAAAAAAAAATCTGAGATCTGTTCCAAATTAAATAGGTCAAATAAACTTGACATTTCTTCTTAAAAACAACTGTAGTATAAGCTAACAAGTGTAACAAATCCCATTTGATGCTTAAAAATTGAATTAATTAAAAATTAAATAAGAACCAATGTAGGTCTCTTTGACTGAATTAACCACAAAATCCAGGGATAACATGACTTGGGTGTGTTTTACTTGTACTTGAAATGGTCAGTATGGTTTCATCTCTAGGGGCCTTGGCTGTGTGTACTGCAAGTGCCATCTTGACAGGCATAAGTATAAATTTCATATCCACATAAATAGAACTCTAATATATCCTGCACAATAACACAAAACAAAACAGTTTGCAAACAGCTTTGGTTAAAGATGTTGGTCTCTTGTAATGAACCAATAGGAAATTCAGAGGTGATTAAATGAGGGCTGATGAAATAGAGAAATGAAATTTAGTATATGGTCCCACCATATACTTAATTAACTGAATGAACATAATATTGGAAGCTTTTAGAAAGAGAAAGATCTCAGAAGTCGAAATGGCAAATTTTTTTTCTTTCAGAACACTACTGAACAATCTTACTCAGGGCCAGTGTTGTAAATCAATGAGGAGAATTGGTATAAGTCTATACTATAACCAAAGATGGAAGAAACAATAGGATTAACAGAAAACTCATTGGTGTTACAGAGTGAATTGTTATTACTACCAAGAAAAGACTTTTGAAGGATTCTGAAAGTACAGCTGGGTAACAGAAGTGAAGACTATGGGTGAAATGACATTTTCTGGTCTGTCCACAGAGCTCCATCGTAACCACATCACCTAGCAAAAGCCACCGCATCTCTTGCCTGGACCACTGTGTTTTCTAGTTGGCTCTGCTTCCACTCTTATGCTGCAATCACCATTTTCACAGCAGCTAGAATGATCTCCATGGTACATAAATTCTGGTCGCTCTTTTGCTTTAAAATCTTCAGGGTCTTCCACTGCACCTCATTTCCCTGGGGCTTTGCAAAGCACTCTATGGCTGGCCCCTACCCATCTTGGTGCCCTTTAAACCACTACTGTCTTTCCTCCTCCCTCTCTAGCCCCTAACCACCCAGGTTTTCTTTATTCCTCAAACATCAAGTAGCTTGTGCACCACTGTACCGGCTATTTCCTCCTCTTAGTCTCTCTTTGTGGCTTCTCCTCTTTGTTCAGTTTCATCTTAAATATTTTCTCCTTTGAGAGGTCTTTCCTGACAACCGAGCCCGAAGTCTCCACTCACCAGTCTCTATTCAGACAGCCTTAATTACTCTCTAACTGTGTAAACCACTGGTCCCAATAGGAAGTGTTCAATTTACATTTTTTTTAAAATAAATTTCTCTTCCACCAGACTGTCAACATCATGAGATCTAGGACATTGCTCCTGCTTGCTCCTGAAACTCCTTGAACAAGCCTGGCCCATGGGAGTGCCAAGGAGGAGTTTATTGTTGAATAAATACACATTTTAGAATGAAAATGTAGTTCTAGAAAAAGATAAAAGCCACAGTATGTCTAATAAAAGCAGCAGGCTATGGGAGATAGATGGTTAAATTTCCAAGAGTGTCAGAGGATAAATCCTGTACATTTTTTAAAAAACTCCCCTGCATAGCCTCTCCTTTTCATAAGAGTCACAAAAATCTGAAAACTTCATGTTATATCCAATGTCCCTGGTTGTGCAATTTGTAATATAATATGAAATAACTCAAACCTACCACCATCATTTTTCCAAGAATATTTGAGCCTCATTTCAAATACACACCTGCATACATTGTAGTGCAAAGGTACTTGATGATATAAACTGTCTTTTCCAAAGAATAGCAAGAAAAATGTAGGTAACTTCAGAACATCTGATATTGGCAGATAAAGTACACGGCAGAGTAAGAGAAAAATAATTCTGTGCTTCCTGTAAATGGGTTTATGAGGAATCCAGTGAAATTACTGCAATATCAGGTTGTTCATCCAAAGAGGCAGGATTTAATGACACTTGCCTTGAAGGATTTTTTTTCATAGTATTAGGGATAATGTGTGTAAGGGCCTCGCACACAATCGGCACTTCAATGATGGTGACTCTTACTGTCAATATTTTTTCCTTCAATTTTCTTGGAAATACACAGCACTTGATTTAGCATCTGAGTCACCAAGTAGAGTTTAGAAAGAGAATCTTAGATATCTATTTTAAATGAATAACAAAAATGAACTTCAAGATCTCTCAGATCCTGAGCACTGGCAAATCTCTACTTCATTCTTCTAGATGGAACATATTTCCCATAAATTTTATTTTTATTCTCAAGATCTTCACAAGGCCAGCACTGTAAGGTTGTGCAGTTTGTATGCGTAGATCTGGATTAGCACAGAGACTGCACTTCCTAATTGTATAAAGGCATCTTAGAATCTGTACTTAACCCTTCCCAAAATATATTAATTTCTTTAACATTCCTTGAGACTATATTGATTCACCCATAAAAAACAAACAAAAAAACTATGTGATATATGCTTACTTTTTTTGACATCCTTGTCCTTTGATTTGATTGATTTTGTTTGGACTATTAGATGTAGTGATGTTGTTTCAGTTAGGGAATTGTATTTTTAAAAACAACAATTTCGATCGCATCTAAGGGACCTTCCTTATACAGAACCAGGCACTGCTCACCTAGGACATGTGGTTTTGCTGTGTTTGTTGCTGCTGCTGCTGCTGCTGTTGAATGAGCAATTGCTGCTGTTGCCGACGCCGGGCTGTTCGCAGCTTCTCAAAGCGAGCCTCCATTTCTTCCAGGACTTTCGGGGTGTATCGGACCACCAGCTTGACACTGTCCTTTGCGGCCTTGAGTAGTTCCACAGCTTTCTCATGGTGCTCTCCTTCCACGCTCTGAAAAGACAAGGAGGTTTGTTACAGGAAAGTCCTTCCATATTCTCTTCCCTGGGAGACTGAACTGAAATTAGTATCCTATCGAAAGTCCAGAATTTAAAAGTTGAAGCAAGCACAGCAAGTGGGATATAATACCATCACCATCATTTATTATGTTCATAGATGAACTGTGAGCCTGTTAGGCTTCATCAGGACAGAGAATGGATCAGATTAGGGATTCAAGTCAGGAGGGTTAAAAAATAATATAAAAGAAATGCTAACATTTTGAAAGGGATTTCTTTTCCTTTTTTTGATGTGGTACTGGGGATTGAGCACCATATCTCATGAAGCACTCTACTGCTGAGCTACATTGCTACCCCTTTCTATTTTTTTTTTTTTTAGTTTTGAGATAGTAACCACATTTTGTGGGACCCTACAAAGAAATGAGACTGCTTCTCATTCCTCTCAGCTGATTCCTAGAGTGGGTGACATGACCAATAATTTACAAGATTGTAGTGTAAAGGCCTTTGTGCCTAACTTCTTCAATAAAATTTCAAGAAAAATTGGCTGTGTGATATCTAGGAACTGAGATAAGCTTAAAGATCATCAGAACATCTGAGTGGCACTGGGTGGCAAGAGGAGGCCAAGTACAGTTGGTTGAGATTACATTTTCATAGCCTAATTGGAAGGGGGACACTTGAAATGGATATCAGATTAAGCTACCAAAAAACACAGTAATTCACATCTGAAGCTCATATCTATTGTAATATGAGATTCATAATTACCACTACTCTACAGATTTGGAAATTTAAAGGATTATGTCCAATTCTAAACCTTGCTTCAGAAAGGTGAACGTGAACTGAGGAAGAAAAGGTTTGAATTTAGCAACAATATTGTAACTGGCAGCTTGTAAAAGCTCGGTTTATCATTTGTTGGAGTATAGCACAGATAATAAGGGTTTAAAAATTGGGCACAGTGAGCCCTGGAGGCAACTTATATAACCAATGTTCCATGTCTGGATTGCACAGTAAGCAGAGGTTTTAAAGAGGTTTTAGGTAGAGTGAATTTTTATCTGTGGTTAAAGTCTAGGAAAATAGGTACATTCGTTGATTAATTCATTCTTTTAATTATTCATTCAATCATGAACATAGTCTCTTAGCAGACTTTTATTAAGTATTTATCCTACTAAATTCTTTGGAACAACATGAAAGAGAGAGGAAAACTTTGAAAATATTACACAATATAAACTCTGTTTTCTGTGTGCTTGTAATTTCTTTGTAATTTGTACCAACAGGATTTGATATGGTATGAAATTTTCCTTTTAAAGGAAAACTTGGTGATTCGGTTGTGCATAATTTCTTTTTTAATATTAAAAGTTGCATGTTTATATGTTTTAATAACGCTGGTTCACTCCTTTTCTAGGCCAGTTGATTAGTTTCCAGACTTTTTTTTTTTTTTTTTGCTTTTGTTCTGTTTGCTTTCATTTAATAGGTTGTAGATTCTAGGCCAGACCGTGAGAGGCCCATTATCTCTTTTTAGGCACTGTGCCTGTGATTCAGAGCTGCCACGGGAGGGCTATGGTACTAATGCAGGGCATGGGCTTTCATGGCAGGGGCAAAGGGTTGACAGAAATAATAGCCATGATGTCCATACTCAGCCCTGGGAACTATCGAAGTGAAGTTATCCTCTCCAATTTACAGAGAGCAGACTCTATGGTCTTCAAACTTAGAATTTTGGTCTTTATGTTTTTAATCCATGGATTACATGTTGACTCAGCTCCCATCCCTTTGGGGCTCACCAGAATCAACAGGTCTCTTGATGGACTCTTAGCTTCCTCTGTGTTCCCCATCAGGGTACAGAACCATTATATGAGATCTGGACTGCATCCGACTTCATTTCTACTACTGAAAATATCTTTAGTAAACCAAATAACACAAATTAGAGAATTGATCATTATTTGGAAACTCAGATGAATTTTAGAGATGGGTTTGAATTCATATAAGCATACTCATAGAATTTATTATTTCAGACAATCAACCTTGTTTTTAAATTGTTTTCAGCATCTTAAGTCTTTTCTTAAGACAAGCAAATCACCAAGTTTTCCTACCATAATAGTGATCATATAGTTAAGGCCCATCCTGGATAGTTCTCTTTTTCTACCTGCTTTGCCTACTTTGTAATTTTGAAGGTATATACTTGTCTCCTTAACCTATTATTTGTTAATTTTCTGGGGTGCCTTCAGTTCCTCTGTATAATTTCTTAATGAGAATAAGGTAGCTTTTTCCCCCTTGTTTTTTCTTTCCATTTTATGGTAAGAACAAAAATGCATACCACCTACTCTTGGAAGTCTTGCTCAGTGAATTAAAAAAAAAAAGCCAAAAGATGCTCAGTTAAAGTGCATATGTTGATGTGCAAACACTCATTACTGGGTATCCCTTATACCCTGAAGGTTTGGCATATATTTCTGCTTTTGACTTCATCTATTCCTTAGTCTTATAGAAAGCATACTTTTTTTCTTACTAAATATTTAAAACCCGTTTTGAAACTTGCTAGATGATTTGTATATAGTTAAGCTAGTTTTTTGTTGTTGTTGTTGTTGTTACTCAAACTATGTATAAAGCCCTCCTGATTTAGGAATCATTCCTTGTAATAACTTGAGTAATCTCTGAAATCTTGTGACAACGGTCTCACAGATGAGAATGTGGTTCGTATATGGCTCGGGGACACCTGGAAAGGCTTCCAACTTTAAAATTAAAAACCTGAAATTCTGTGCTTTTTGGTTTCATTCCCTTGCTTGTAATTATTCATCTCTTTGTTATAATTATTATTGCGTTTTGTGAAAGTTGTTAGCATGAATTAATTTAACAAAAGGCTTTCCAATTGACATCTGGTGAAAGTTGGATTTTATTAAGAAGGTGAGGGGGGATACAGAAGACATGAGCATATATATTAGTTACTCAGGAAATATTTTATGGTCCTAAAACAAAAAAAATACTCTAAAGAAAAACTTTATATAAATTATAGTTATGCTGAGGCTGGCCTTAAGCTTTCACTGAAATGAAATAAAATGTACTAGGAAATAAATAGACATTCCTGTCCTGAAAAACATTTCTGCTGTCAAATCTTTTTAAAATGCACATCAAAAATCAATATGGGAAGGGAGAGTTCAAATATTTTTTTTTACTATTTTCAAAATTCATAAACACACACTAATGAAATGCTAAGCATATAACCATAAGAAGTTAATATTTACAAGAATCTATTTTCATTTAGGAAACAGAGGAAACAAATAGCTCAGTGAATAATCAGATGCACACTTGTTTGGTGAGCAATCTCATGTAGTAGTAAGTAGGCCCTAGGAAGTTTTGAAGGTAGTTTATTTGATGAAGTATAGCAAATCAGCAGCTGACAAATGAACCACCTTTAAACACGGCTGCATTGTGATGTTTCAGTAGCTTTTCTATTTCCACACTTCGTGAGATATTAAAATGTCTACTATTTCTGGTATGTTCAATTTTTCCTAGTTGATTGAGAATCTTCTCTAATAAGAGAGAATTTGGATTATACTACATACATAAACTTGTGCATGAATGAATAGCTTCCCCTTGACCCCCCATGATAATTGCATTTTGACTCTGGTTAGACCTCAGATAGAAGAGATGCCTGCTCTGGGAAGGAATCTTGCGATCTGTGTACCCTTCAGTTACCAGATGCTTAAATTTGTATGTAGGTTTTTCTCTGTTGGGATTACATGGAAATCCTCCTGGCTGAGTTTGCTGTGACATAAGTTGCTTAAAACGTTTGTTGGACAACAAAGAGTTGACAATACCTCCTGGTTATTTCAGGCATACCTACATTCAAGTGTATGTGTCTGCTCCTGAGTGACATCAGCCATTTCTTTGGATTTTACTTAATCCAAAGGGCAGATGACATTATCGGGGAGTAAAGGATGTTAAGAGTGTGAGGTTACAATTAAGCAGCTCAGAAACTCTGAACAGTATATCTGAAAAGTCTCTTAGAAACAATCTCATTTATATCCTTTTTGTCTTAAGACATAAGGAAACAGAGACTAAGAGGAGCTGGGACCCAGCCCGTTGTATAACTTTGTTTGTTGTAAGAGTAGATTAGAACTCATTGTTATTACCTACTTCTTTTTCAAAAACACTATATTACTGGGGCTGGAGTTGTGGCTCAGTGGTAGAGTACTTGCCTAGCATGTGCGAGGCCCTGGGTTTGATTCTCAGCACCGGATATAAATAAACAAACCAAATAAAGGTCCATCAACATCTAAAAAAAAGATTAAAACAAACAAAATACCCCCCCCCCAACACTATACTAGTTTCTGAGGACAAGGAATCCAAAAATGAAACACACACATTGTAGGTCAGTTTTGCATGATGTGAAAGGATAGAAACTAATGATGAGGAAAAGCTATGTCAACTCCTAGCAGAAGGGTGTGAATTGGCCAGTAAAGGAAAATCATGAGTCGACCTGAGGGGTCACTGTTAGTGGGCAGTGATTCTCAGCTTTCAAAAGGCCCAATATAGCTAAACAATGACATACTCTTTTCCCAAAAGGTAATAGTGATTGATTTTGGATGTTTTTCTTTCTTTTTTTTTTTGGATTGGAGAAATTTATTAAAATTTAAATAAAATTTATTAAAATAAAAGGTTTAGACTTCCATTCCATAAATATCCATTCAGGTGCCTTTCACAGGATAAACCAAATATTTGCTGCTGTCATTAAAGCCCTTGAATTTTCAGGATGTCAGAAGTCTGCCTGTATTTATCCACACACAAATTCTTAATCCCCAAATTAAGGAAGAGTACAGGATAAGACATTTGCAGACAAGCCATTACTGAAATTCAAATCCCTAGACATTTTCTATGGAACAATAAATAAAAGGCTGTATTATTTTCAAGAATGTAAAATTGGATTGTTGCAGCCAGATAGATCACTTTGTTCTTATGATAGTTTTGCTGTTCTCCAATAAGATGTTTTAAGTATTTAATTTTAAGAAT